TTATAGGATTTATGAGATTTTCATATTCCTATGAAGCAGAATTTAATCAAAAACTTCCACATGAGAAGACGAAAACTTTTGCTGTGGTCTTCAACTCGACACTTACATATCGACGACATTTTATTAATTAATAGTTACTTTCATTCATATGTCGACTCGACATATCCCAGTAAACTTGATATAAAAGACACCACAGAGTCTGCCAGATCTGTTTAATATTTGGAGGTTTTACTGACTATAGACGAGAAGGGTTCTGTTTCATAATTGGATGTTTTATTGACTATAGACGATAAGAATCAACTAACAACTAAATTGTATGACAAACGAGATGACTACAGCTTTTCCATCATCAACTTTCCTTATATATGTAGTTATATTCCACAATCACATGCATATGGTGTTTAAGACTCCAGACGTATTTGAAACTCAAGAGCATGCTCTGAGTACGACAAATTTTTAAACCGAGGTAGGCTACTAACAGATAAATTGATGTTGCAGGGATGTCAACCGCCTCGTTTAAAATCAGCATTTTGTCAATTATATGATCGTTATAATGATCTATTAGCAAATATAAACTATCATTGGGTTGTATTTTGACTGACATATTTCATACCAATTTTTGGGCCGTTGTTTTAATACTGTATTTGAGTACGGAATGTTCTGCCTACTTGATCAATACATAGGACTTACGGGGATGCTTACTCCTCCCAGGCAACCTGTCCTCTACGTCTGGAATTTCTGAGGGTTCGTGTTTTATGCATTGTTTACAGATTTGTATTGTTTATTAGGTTTTTTTCTGAGATCGATCACTGTTCGCTATTCTCACCTTTTACATTGAAAACTGATCACTTATTTTCATCTTTTTCACACATATAAATATAGTTTTGGAGGAATAGTGCTACCTATATGTGTAAGGTTGGATCCATTCAGGGCTTATGATATTCGTTGAAACGTAAACATATGTGATGTGTATATGAGGAGAATGAAGCACAAGGTAACTCTTGTATTACATGTAGCAGCAAGTAGCTTTGTCGCTTACAACAGATTACCACCTCATAAACAACAGTAGATGTTTAATTCTCGATTAATTTACATTATTCCTTAAAGAGACACCGTGACGGACAAACGTGAAAATTGAAAAAAGTATAATTTTTGCAAGACACATGCAAATTTTATTCAATTCTTTAAAGCATTAGGTTTCAGAAAATTACAGGTGTCAGAATATAAAAAATCTACTTTTATGGAGAAAAATATAAGTAAAAATAATTTTAATTTGCCTCAACACGAAAATATTGCTTCACTTCTTCCTCTTTAAGGTACGCATGCGCAGAAAAGTTGAAGAAGTTACCATGGTGTCAATTCCATAGATATAAATGTCGGATGACCGAGAATTTTGATATAATCTTCAAAAAAAAAAAAAAAAGATTATCAGAACTTATTCCTCAGTTTTGATTGCTCCAATTCAATGTTGTTTACAAGTTTCACGCTAGAAATAAAAGACACATGACCTTGACATTGACGATAACAACCACGCCATAGATAGTTAGATACGACTTTTCTTTTTCCGGCACTTACATTTTGCAGTCTTTTCTTGCTTTTACCGTGCAGTTGAGATCTCAAAACTTCGCCTTATTCATATTTCTCATAAATCTTTAGCTTTATGATACAATTATCTTAAAAGAAACACATGATATTGACTCACTATGTAACTTTAAAGTTTCCTACGTGTTATATATCATTTCATACATTTAATTCAAATGAAAACCTGACATTATAGTGTAGCGTAATGCTGGAAAAGAAAATTGCTTGGGTTGATTGCTTCAAAATCAAATGGTAACCTATTGCCAAGAGGAAAGCCCATCAAAGTGGACAATAAATCATCGAATGGAATGCATTTACTCAGAAATTATGTCAATAGGGGTAAAAACGTTTGTAACTCAAACAGTTTTAAAGCTTGGGTAAAAAAAAAATGAGAATACACGTTGACAATTAAGCAAAATGCGAGGAAAATCCAAACTTAAAATATCCCTTTTTTTTGTTTTTGCTTGACTTTTATTCCAACATTAATTTCCATTTTCAACAGTTAGTGTTTTGATCATTTTTCGGCAGACGATGTTTTATGTGTAATCAATACCACTACAAGAAAATTAAACGAATATCTATACAAAATATGTGTATTTCTTTCATCTTTTCAAAAAATGTTTTAAACATGTTGGTTAACTCTATTGCAATTGAGGTGATTAATTATTGAATGATTATAATACTATAGTATAGTAAATACATACGATCTTATGTTTCAATTTGCTTTACCCATTCACAACAAAGGACAGCTCGGTATAAAAATCTGTCCGAGAAGAATGAACAGATTGGTTGTGTATTTGAATCTGTGAAAAAATATTAACAAAGAAAGGACTGATGGAGCCCAGAAGCCTACCTGTGTACAGGGAAGCTTTATAAATATTAGATGATTTAAAATGATCTTACGGTATTGATTAATGTGTAGAACTGAGAGAAAAAGCGAAAACATTAACAATACAGTTGAGAAACCTCATTACAAATAAATATATACATAAAGGTAGATAGCTGACTCCATTGAATTTAGATTGATAAATGAATAATTGATTAAAGATCTCACAAATCCTCTCATATATACATGTATTTTTATTTAACATTTTCATTAATTGCCATATGCATATCCTTTTTAATGTATTTTCTGGCATGTATTTAATATGAAATATTTTGTTCATTGTATCAAAACCATTGTAATCAGATACTGACAATAATACAAAGCTACGAAACGGTGCCGTTTGGGGTACCCCACTAGAATAAATAATTAATTTGATATTTAATTAATTATTATGAGTGTCACACAGGATGACTTCACTTAATAACATATGAAAATTGCAACAAAATAAATTTTGAAAAAGATTATTCTTCTTTTGAAATTCAGGAATGGTCTTTATTTTAGCTGCAACTCCAAGTAATAATAACAAATTGAACACACCCGTGAAACGTAAACTGTTTTTGTAAACAGCTCTGTTATTGTTAATGTTTATGTTTCACAGGATGTGTTCAATTTTTTAAATTCTGCACACATCACTGAGCATGTACTGCCAATACTGGTGAGTTGGTTTTGCTTTCTCACATTTCTACTCTGAATTTTCTGGATTATAGTTTTAATATTTTTCATTATTACACAACAAAATTTCTACTTTTCTTAAGTATTAAGGATAGCGTTTACTTTGTGAAAGTGCAAGGATGTGTCAATCAAACACGTCCCGAAATTCGTAGTTTCAATAATTTCCAGATAAAATAAGTTTTTTTTATTTTATTTCCGTGTGAAATGCTATAGCAACATATAAGTCATGATATTACACAGAAAATTTGAGAAAATATTAACATCAAATCTGTGTCTAAGCCCATTTAGTAAAAAGTTTTTATTGATGGTGGCGTTTAGTTGAGATTCTTGGGCGGCGTTTAATGGTATCCTGATGCACTAACACAATTGAAGAATATAAAATTTTAGTAAAATTATATTTTACCAAATAAATTAGGTTTCAAGCAAGCAGAACGTCATGAAACAATTGAGATTTGGAAGTGTACGTATCCTGAAAAGTGTAACCGCATTGATAATTCATTCCCCATCAAAAATGACTATAAAACAGGTTCACTTTTCTTCTGTCTCAAATAATTTTTCCCAATTAAAATACCTATGTTTTTGAAATACAATCGCAATAGACGCAGTTATTTTGTTCACACACACACACCCTCACACACACACACACACCCTCACACACACACACACACACATTCCTTATATTGACTCTTCATTCTTATTCTTCCTATCCAGTTCTCTGTTCTCAATCAAAAAATCTATAACCACGCCTACACGAACTTCATTTTGAGGACCAAATTCCCCTGGAGTAGTTTTTACTGACAAAAAATTTGCAAATGTTTACAAGTACTTTGTTATGGATATTATTCAGTAAATCTAAAAAAAAAATCAATGCTCTCGTGGAATTCTATTACTATCTAACGACTGAGGTTGCTTGTAAATAGGTATCAAATTTGTAATCGGAAGAATGATACTTATTAGTGAATGGATTACAACAGCTTTGGGATTTCTTAAAAAACAAACAAATTGAGGATGTGTTACAAGTAAAATTCAAAAGGGAATGAGAAAAACCATTTTCGAACTCATTTTTCTATTAAATAATTGTTTGAATCTCGGAAGTATTCATTTCTTTTTTTCTCTTTTCGTTCCAAAAAGCAGTACCTTTACGATTTTTGAAAAAAAAAGAATCAATAAAGCTTGCTGTACCTAGGTTATAAGTTATGTAATTATCCTCGTTTAAATTCTATACGTTTTTGTGATATGAAAAAGATACATGAATATACATGAATATATAAATATTCTAACCATTGATCGATGGTTCACAATTTGTCAAGTTAGAATATAGTGAAGGAACTTAGTAATATTTTGTGCTTTGCTATGTGAGTCACTAGAGATGATATGAATGGATAGAAATTAAAAAAAATACATGTCCTTTCTTCCGAACAGTGATTCTTGATGCAAAGAAAAATGACTTATTTGATAAGCATGTACGGCCAGAAAACTTAAGTTGGAATTTCCTCGAGTAAATGATTTTGTTTGGAATTACTGTATGAACGAAATTACGAGATTGAGGCACGTTTTTGGTATATAAAATTCAGAAAATTCTATTGAAAGGACTTGATTGGTTAATCAAGGTGGTAGATAGTTTTCTAAAACCTAACAATGATTTGACAAAAACAAAGTGTCCAAAGACCTACTCGATAGCGTGGCCATTTTGGCCTCAGCTAACACTGGAATTTCTTTGCAAAGAAAAGCATGAATGAAAAATAATATAAAACAAAAATATAGAAAACTGTGCATAAGTCAGACTGAAACCACTGCATACTTGTTTATGAAAAAAAAACTTCCAAAACTAGACTGAAGACTGAAGTTCAAGTCTCGTCTAATGTTCAGAGAAAGAGGTAAATTTTTTACGGAGAGGACCCCAACACTACCAGCTGGGGACTTACATACGGAACCACCATCACGGCAATTACGAAACAAAGAAAGGCTACCTGAAGAAATGTGTGTCACACCAGAAGTAGAGAAGGTAGTAGACACCCAACATGCTGGGCCGATGTCAATTTGTATCTGTATGGGAAACTATCACACGCGATAGATACATCCTTAACACTGTAAAAGGATATTCATTAGAATTTGCTTCATTACCTTTTCTATATTCAGTGAGAAAAACTAAACTAAATGCTGCTATGGCAGTTGCTTTAGACAAAGAGTTATCAAAGCTAATTGATAAAGGGGTAGTGGAGAAAGTTTCTCACTCAGCTGATGTGTTTCAACGTCCAAAAAAGATGGTAATTATCGGGTTATTTTGAATTTTAAACAATTAAATGTAAACATCGATGCTTATTTCAAAATGGAAAGATTGTATACATCTTTAAGAAGGATTCAACCCAGATGTTATATGCATGGGTTCTGTGGACCTAAGTGGTGCATATTTCACTGTTAATGTAGCTTTTCCTGACCGAAAATATTTAAGATTCATCTGGAAAGGAACGCTTTATCAGTACACTTATTTACCAAGTGACCTTCCTAGTTAGCCCAGGATTTTTACAAAGCTTCTGAAGCCTTATATGCTTCACTTAGATCTAAAGGATAAGTATCTGTTGCAAATATTGATGATTCCTATTTACAAAGAGAAACATATGAACAATGTTTAAAAAATATAAAAGATACAAAAAGAACTATTTGAACAATTGAGGTTTAAGATCATTAGGGAAAAATCACTGGTTGTACCTACACATGAAATTGTATTCTTTGAATTTGTTTTGAATTCTAAATCAATGACGATAAGCCTCAATCCAGAGAAGATAAAATAATGTAATAATCTCTATCAAACTTTCTGTTCAAACAAATGCATTCGAACAGACAAGTTGCAGAACTACTTGGATATCTTATTTCCTCCTCAGTAGCTATTCCTTTAGGAATGTTGTACCCAAAATACTTGAAAGAGAAAAAAAAAAACGAAGCCCAAATGTAACTAAATCAATGACGATAAGCCTCAATCCAGAGAAGATAAAATAATGTAATAATCTCTATCAAACTTTCTGTTCAAACAAATGCATTCGAACAGACAAGTTGCAGAACTACTTGGATATCTTATTTCCTCCTCAGTAGCTATTCCTTTAGGAATGTTGTACCCAAAATACTTGAAAGAGAAAAAAAAACGAAGCCCAAATGTAACAAGAGTAATTCTGATTCAAAAATAACATTATCAGCAGAGTCACTTCAAGATTTAAAATGGTGACCAATACATATAAATAGTGGTGTTAAAGCTCTCATTCAGCAAACAAGTATCAATGCAACACTTACCACTGAAGCATCAGGATTAGGTTGGGGTCAGAATACAATGATATTTCTACAGGAAATTGAAGTGAAACAGTACTCTTCTAATATTTACTATTTGGAATTACATGCAGTTTTTCCTAGGCCTAAAAAGTTTTCATAAAAAATTGTGTTATAAACATGCCTAAATTGTGACAATTCCACCATTGTTGCATATATTAATAATATGGGTGGTACAAAATCAACTGCATATAACTAAATGGCTCTAGAAATATGGACTTTTGTGCATAGAAATAATATGTGGTTAACAGCGGTTCATTTACCAGGTGTTAAAAATGTAGTGGCAGATAGGGAGAGTAGGATGATTCGAGATGAAACAGAGTGGATGTTGAACAAAAAGTATTTAAAACTATAACTTGTGTATATTTCAAACACATACTGATTTATTTGCATCTCGACTAAACAAACGGTTATAATATGATAGAACTGTTACAAGTGATAACTTTGGATTCTCAGGTTTTATCTAAACATGCCACAGTAAGTAACAATACAACCTAATAATGTTGAATTATCTGTTGAAACTGATTGCTGTAATAAATTTGGTAATCTTTACAATTTATTAATGTTTTTAGTGGAAGTTAACATATATTAGTTAATTTCAACTACCTTTCTAAATAAAGTGCTGTGGCCACGCTTTAAATCTTTCACGTGATCTCGATACTGACGTATGCTGATGGAGAAATTAAAAATTAAACGATACTTACCAAGAAGATGTTTGATTGTAATTCTCCGAAGTAAACGTAAGTGATAGAGATCAGGTGTCACACCTCACCCACCCATTATTGAGAGTTTTTTGTGGCCACATCACCTTTAAAGTTTGAATTCTGGCGTTTACTTCGGAAAATTACAATGAAACTTCTACTTGGTAAGTATCTTAATTTTTAATTTTTTTTTCACATGACGTTATACATATACTGATAACACATGTACTGATATCTGGTAGTTTAAATGTCTACAGTATTTGATGTAAAACAAAAAAGAAAGAAGAAAAAAAAGGTGCCTTTCAAAAAATTCACAATAACAGAAGTGATTGTTAATCACATTGATTAATAATGGGACCAGATGTCTCATTGATGCAATTAAATTGTTCAAAAAAGGCTTGTGAAATGCTCTCTCAAATCTGGACTAGCTCCCGCTCAACTGCTTAAAAGATGTTTGTGTTTCTTTCATTTTGTGTGGGTCTAAAATTAGCTTTGGAAGTCAGATTATACCTAGAAAGTGGTGCTTCATCAAATCTGTCCAAAAAGTAAATAGCATAATATCATTGTTTTGTGATCGAATACAATTCAGTAATTTTGAGCGACGATTTAACTATTCACAACTTGCTAAAATATATAGACATTTTCTTTAAAATTAGTATAATAGCAGTCTATGTGTCTTTCAGTCATGTAGTTTGATTTATAAAAGTCGGGAGTTCTGCAATCGTCAGGGAGCTGAACAACGGCCAAATGTAACACCAGTGTAAAAACAAAAGGAGGTTGCATTGTCCATCATTGATTTATCATGCATTAACATATTTAATATCTATTGAAAAGGCTGCTACAATAAGGATGGTATAAGAGGGAAAAAAATCAGGAGATACAGCATAAAAAAAGAAATCCACCAAGGTTAACATGAAGGGGAAATGGTGTGTTGTTGTAATTCTATGTTTAGTGAATAAGACAACAATAACAGGTTGGTAAAATTATGCTTAATATCAAGAATTGGAGAGTTTTATTTTCTATATCAATTATTAACAAGATGATTTTGTTTTCGCTTGTTAAAACATCCATGACTAATTCTGATTTTGGGACTTCTTGAAAGTGGAATCACTCTATATGATCCCTTATTGTGCTCTATCCTACCCCGTTGAAATTGATTCAGTGGTTCTGTAATAGAAGTTAAAAATTGAAAAATTTACAGACGACAGACATATAGACGAACGACATACACTTTTCAATCAGAAAAGCTAATTTTAGTCTTTGTTGCTTGTGAGTTAAAAAGCAATGTACTTAAAGAAGCTAGTTTAATTTCTTTCCAAATATTTCATTAAAGTATTTAAAAATAAGTTTAGAATGGTAAACAAGACACTCTTTAGAAAATATCAGTGAGTAGACCGTTATTGCACAGTTAGAATGCCACTTAATGGGTAGACCGTTTCTTGTACAGTTAGACTGTCGCTCAGTGAGTAGATGGTTATTGTAGAGTTAGAACGTCGCTCAAAAGTAAACCATTGTTGTAAAGCTAAACTGTCGCTCAAAGGGTAGATCCTTCTCTTGTTAAGTTAGATTGCTGTGGTTGTTCAGTGGGTAGACGTTCTTTTGCAGTTATACTGGCATGGTGGCTTAGTAGGTAAACACCTTTTTTTATATTTAAACTGATACTCAGCGTGAGAATGTTTTTTACAGTTCCTGTCGCTCGGTGAGTACACAGTTCTTGTACAGCTATACACAGATACACTGTCACTCCGAAAGTAGACTTTGATTGAACAGTTAAGCTGCCTCGGTGGCTATGTCGATAAATCGCTCAAGTAGAGTTAAGCCACCGGGATGTTCAGTAGTAGACCATTGTACAATTAAGGACATACGCAACGTAGTTTGAACTTTATTGTCTTTTCCCCTGGAGTTGAAGAGTTCCGATACTTAAAGAAACTGTGTGCTACATTTTAATGTCTATACATGTATATGCTGTTGTACGCTTCTTCTAAAACAAGTTTGGATAAACAAAACATCTAGAATATACGTTTCGTAATTCGTCCATATTTTTCTTTGAATTATACACAAATTTCCATCAATTGATATCTTTTCTAAACCCCTGGTAATGCATGCTGATTTTTTGTCTACGAACATCTGATGGTACTATAATCTTAAATTAAGAATATCTTGAAAAATTATCAGTAGGCAAGGTACGTTGCGTATGACGTTAAACTGTCGTTGAGTTAGTAAACCATTCTTGTAGAGCTAAGCTGCCACTCAGTGGACAGACCTTTCGCCTTGTGTTAGGCTGGTGGTCATTTTCACACTCAGTCTAACGGGTCTTTCGGATAAGACCTGCAACACTGTTTCTCCGTGTCACTTTACTGATGCAAATCCATCGCATCTTGACATTAGTGAAAAAATTCCGATGCCTCTAATAAATGCATTTCGAACCTCAGACCTAGTGGTAAAGAGGAAAATAAATAGGATTTAGTAGTTTTGGAACCATAATTACTTTAGTCTAAACAATGAAAGTTAAAAAAAAAAACTCAGTGGTTTAGACGTATAGATGATATATCGTTATAAAGGTAAAGTTTGTACATTTATATTTCAAAGTGGACGACTGCAAAACATCTACCGAAGGTTTAGGATACAGAGGAAGGAAGTCAGTGACCAGTACCGGTAAAACTTGTCAGAGGTGGGACAGCCAAACTCCGCATTCACATGATTACGCTGACCTACTTCCGGGGAACGCCAGCAAACACGAGAATTATTGCAGAAACCCACTTGCAGAAAATGTAGATGGCCCCTGGTGCTATACAACAGATGACGATACGAGATGGGAGCTATGCTATATTCCCTTTTGTGGTAATTCTATCCCGCTTAACAGATGTAATACTCATTATTTGTTCGTGTCATTGGTTTAGCATTTTTTCAATAATTATTTTATAGATTCGGATGATGAAAGTCATTTTATATCCTTTTAGTCAGAATATCAGATGGATTTTTTTTAAAAGATTAAAACAAATTTGTATCTTTACAACTCAGATTACACGAAGATTGTGACTAATTGTTTATAGGTAAATTGTCAAATTTGAATTTCTTTAAGTGGTGATACTATTTTGTGTATTCATACAAACATATATAATAATTAATTTTAATTCAAAATAGTAATATTGCAACCTATATATTGCAAAATGCAACAATTAACAAAGGCATTACACAAAATACTACAATACCCGTAATGCATATTAGTTACATGTATATGCTATATATTTACAATTTTATTCGAAAAAGAGAAGTACATCTATAACAGGGAGTGCTATGGCGTATCTGGCTAAAGGTTCACATTTCTTCCTTAAATTTCCACACATTTATCCCTGTCTCTTCTCAGGTAAACAAGAAGTATTATTTCGATTAATGACCTTCAGTGAAAAGTAGTCTATCGTACATGGATGAGAAATTACAAATACAATGTTATAAGAATTTCATATGTCAGCTTTAAGTGAATTTATGGCTTTCAAAACTTATTAATTCAAAAAAGAAAACTAATGTTCATTTTGTATTAAGAAGAATGATTTTCCAACAACTATGAAAATAAAATGATTTTTTCGATTAAGAATGTAGAGAGACCATGGAAGGGGTAGAATACAGAGGAACAATGTCTCAAACAATGGAGGGTTACGACTGCCAGAGGTGGGACAGTCTAGTTCTTCCCGATTCTTATTATGCCAAACAACTAGAAGGAAACATCAGTGAGCATGAAAATTATTGCAGGAATCCGGGAAATTCCGAGGATCTAGGGAAACTTCCCTGGTGCTTTACTTCAGTGCCGGATGTGCCATGGGGCTATTGTAACATCCCGTTTTGTTCCAAAAGTCAGTACATATTCATATTTAATTTATTAATTGTTTTGTTAAAACTATTTCATTTGAATAAGTCCTCATATTTACACAATAAATAATGCATACAGGATTCAGAAACAAGTTGTTACAACTTATGTTAATCCGTTTCATTATATTAACTTTCAACTATAAACATACATTTGCCTTTGCTTCATTGCAAATCTAATATATATAGAAACAAAAATTTTAAAAGGATTGAAGAAAAAACAAAAAAAAATTGAACTAGTATCTGAACTAATATTTTGGAGAGATATCATTACATAAGTACATACCCTTATAAATATAACGATCAGAAATTAAGGAGTAAACAATCTATACATTTCAAATTCAACAATTAGGCCACGAGGACGAAAACTCCGATAAGATTCAACTTAAAATCTTTTTGATGCAGAAATAAAATGATTTAATTGTTTAAAAATTTAGTACTAAAGAATAATTCCCAGTAGGATCTCCATATAAGAGATGTTTAAAGCACATGTACTGGTCCTAATGAGTTAACAAATTTTTTTCATACTTCATTGTAGTTAGAATAATCTAACTGTGTCTCAGGACAAGCCCTTACCACAGTTAGAGTACGTCCCATATACTTGCAATGTAGCAAATCGGAGCGGATCAGCTCCAAAATGATTTTGAAGTATACAAAAGGAGTTGCATTGAAAATAACAGATCAATTAATTAATAATAAAAATAATTAATATTATTGCATATATAAAGTATTTACTCATATATAGCGTTCGCAAAATAGTGTATTATGTTTTTATTTTTATACATGAAATATGGAGATAACGAACAGTAGTCAAACTCAAAGTCCATTAAAACAATACAAATTTACTAAAATATCATCATACACGTTTGGCTGTTTGGTCATTATTTAGAATATTATAACACTGTCTACTAACTTTATGGACAATCCTTGTATATGACAGTGTTTAAATAAATCGTTTTGTCGTTGCTATTATTAACGTAAACGCTTCAAATATTTCGATATTGATATTAAGTCCATAATTAGGACTACCATTTAATAATAATTCATATACAAGAGAGATGGTCACAATTTATTATTGGCCGCAGCAGCGGCTGATCTATTTGTGGTTGTGTTAGAAAGAGCACATGGAGAAATGAGACGTTATTTCTTTATTAGTTCAGTAAAACAATTCTTTAATGATTACATGTATAAAATCATGAGTAAAATATTTTAAGACTTGCTTTAAACTAAGTCTTAATTGTTGCTATTATTTTTCAATTTTATGGTTAAAAATGTCGATGTACACTCTTAACGCACAAATTTGTTTTCAAAGTTCGTTGATTTTGTTCCCAATTTTAACGCAATTTAATTTTTTTTTTCAAAGTGCGTAATTTTTCAAAGTGCATTGCCACAGAGCATGCTCTTGCGTATCGAATTAAATGAGAGATATACACCCCATATGCATGTGATACATGATAAGGGTATATTATATTGCTGCATAAGTAAGAGAAGTTGAGGAATGAACTGTTAAAGTCATCACGTTTATCATAAAGCTTTGTTGATAGATTACCATTAACGTCTTTTTCTAGTAAAGATGTGTCAGACTCTGTGGTATCTTTTATTTCATGCTCACTGGTATATATCCTGTCGACATATGAATGGAAATAACTATTGTTATTTGATAATACGTCGTCGATATATCTAAATGTCGATTTGAAGGCCACAGCAAGAGATTTCTTTTCCTCATGTATAAGATTTTGAATAAATTCTGTTTCATATGAATACAAAAATAGGTCTGCTAACAACGGGACGCAATTGGTACCCATGGGAATTCCAATAGATTGTTGGAAGACCACATAGATATTGTTAATCAGAAACTCAGGCATCTTTTTAATATCAATTTCAGAGTATTTGTGTGTACAATCAGATTTTTTTTTAACAAAATAATTTTCAAACGACCTTTGAAAAGGTAAGTAAATTTACGAGTTCCATTTTTATTGAAAAAGCGGCTGTCAATGATGTCAAAAAGCCTGGACTTTAATGTATCGTGGGGAATGGTTGTATATAGAGTTGAAAAGTCGTAAGTTTTTATGTTATCGATTTTGGTAAAATTTTGTGATTTCAAATTTTCCAAAAGTTCCTTGGAATTTTTAAGTATCCACATCTGATTTACACCACTTCTCGAATATATTGTTGCACAGTACTCCTGAAGTTTCTCCTTCAATGCTGCTAATATTTTAGTGAGGAGGAAAGAAAGAGGCTTGGTAGAACATTTACTGGAACCCGCTGTGCATTTTTGTTTGTAAGGATTTGTTTTTAAAGTTTCGGAATCCAATATAAATATGGTAATTCAAATTCATTTTGGTTGTTGGGAATATTAAAAAATATTCAAAACAGGCAAATAATTTTGCAGAATTTCCTCCTTAGAAAGGGAGCTATGGGAATTAGTTGGATTGCCACCTGTAGAATTAAATCCCAGTTCTTCTAAAGTACAATTAAAATAATGAGCCTTACACACTAAGACAATGTTGTTACCGGCTTTGTCAGCTGGGACCAGTACATACTAATCGTATAGTCTATCTAATTCTTTTTTCACTTCTGAATTATTGAACCCAGATGGATAGATGGTTTTCATATTGCCCCTCAATCGCTTAATGCGAAGTAAATAAGCAAAATCGTTACAATGTACTTTAATTAAAAAAGATATTCTATGCATGGCAATACTCGCATTTTAAGAAAAAAATATAAACAAGGTTATTCATTTCTAATACAAAGTTTTTGTTGCCATTGTATGTTTTAAAATTTGTACATAATTAACAAAAAATACATGAATGTAATGTACTTATTTAGGCCTTTTTTACCACTTTCAGCTAATTTATTTTTTATCTTTACCATTGTTACGCTTTCATTGAATAATTTTGGGTTGAATCCAATGGCTAAATTATGCAAAGGTGTGAAAATTGTAGACTTCTTCAATTTAATTCAATAAATTGTATTTCATAAGGTAATGCAGAGTGTCTTAATGACGAAAAAGGTGTTAAGTACTTTGGTACCAAATCAACAACCAAAGATGGCCTAACTTGTCAACGCTGGGATGTACTAGAGCCACATTGGCACAGTTTTTCTAAGGGATTTATGGGACTCAATGCCTCTGAACATGAGAATTACTGCAGAAACCCAGAGGAGGACGAAATGCCCTGGTGCTACACCGTTAATTCTACTATACCTTTTCAATATTGTGATATTCGCTTATGTAAGGAAAGTGAGTACATCGCTCATTCTTGAAAAAACATCCCGAATTTGTCTCCCTGATCATTTCAATAATGAATTAGTAAAATGATTTAAAGAATATACTTATCTATTTTTTCGGAAAATAAAATTATTATTATTTAAAAATACTGAAAAACACTGGTTAATAAATTTCTGACTTAGTTACATTGAATTTTAATAAGGTCTTGTTTCTTTTATATGTATATATCTGTTTGTGTGAGGGTGTGTATGTGTGTAAATTCGATAATTTTCTTCTTCATTTATTGCTTCAAGGTCTTTAGAGTTTAAAAATCATTTTGTGACCTTTGTCTTGGCCTTAGCTTTGACAAACCTACCGTCATATTTAAAGTCGTAACGATTCATTGGAGGGTTTTTTTTCTATAAATCAGAGGACTGTAAAGACACAGAAAACGGCGTGGGATACAGAGGAAAGCGAGATACTACTCGGGACGGGATACTTTGTCAGCGATGGGACAGGAACACTCCACACAGGCCACACGGCACTATAAATTTCCCTGGATCATCTTTGTCTGCACAGGAAAACTACTGTAGAAACCCGCAGAACGATATATCACCCTGGTGCTACACAACGGATCCAAATATACGCTGGCAGTATTGTGATATACCTTTTTGTTTAAACAGTAAGAATATCTACATTCATGTAGGATTCTATTTCTTTTTCTGTATTCTAATAACTGCACTGGACAAAAAAAAACTATTAAATGTTAAAGAGGAGAAAACTGTTGCATTTTAAAAATGGTTTCGTTCTTAGATCAATGGTTTTAAAGTGAGACAGGAATGTAATGTGTATTTTATGAAAGTCAATAGTCATGCACAAGAAAAAGATTTCCAGGGTTACCTTTTTAGTTCACCTGAGCCTAAGGCTCGAGTGAGCTTTTCTGATCAAAGAGTGTCTGGCGTCCGTATGTCGTCTGTAGTCCGTAAACTTTTCACATTTTCGACTTCTTTTCAAGAACCACTTAGCCAATTTCAACCAAAAGTGCCACAAAGCATCCTTGGGTAAAGGGGATTTAGGTTTGTTCACAGGAAGTGCTGCGCCCTCATTCAAGGGGAGATAATTAAGAATTCTTAAAAATTTGGTGGTATCTTTTAATAATCTTCTCGAGAACCTCTGGGTAAGAAAAGATGAAATGTATGTGAAAGCTTCATTTCATACTCTAGATTCATATCATAACCCCCGGGGGTAGGGCGGGGCCACAACAGGGGGTTTAAGTTTTACATAGAAATATGTAGGAAATGTCTTAAAAATCTTCTTCTCAAGAACAGCAAAGCCATGATAAGTCATATTATAATACAAGTATCCTCAGGTAGAGTAGATTCATGTTTGTTCCAATCATGGCCCCTGGGGGTAGGGCAGGGCCACAACAGGGGGCCAAAGTTTATCACAGGAATATATAGAAATATCTTTAAAAATCTTCTTCTCATAAACAGCTCAGCCATTATTACTTATATTAATAAAGAAGTACCCCCAGGTAGTGTTGATTCAAGTTTGTTCAAATCATGACCCCTGGGGGTAGAACGGGGGCAAAACAGTGGATCAAAGTTTTACATAGGAAAAAATAGGTGTAATGTTAATGGGCATTCGATTAAAACGCATTGAAAACTTCAAATAATGGAATGACCTGGCAACCCTTGGAATGGACTAGCCAAACCAAAGTGTATATAATTCAAAGCTTTGGGAAAGTCATTCAGAAGTTAGCTGAAGAAGTTCGATGTGGAATCAGTAATGTATGTGAACAATAACTTAATGTATGTGAACAATTACTTAGTGTATGTGAACAATAACAATGTATGTGAACATTAACTTCCGAAAATAAGCCACATCTACCGACCGATTTCAAAACTTTACGTTACCTGCAAGAGGAAGATATTAATCTATGTGAACACTCAACATATTGTATGTTTTTCTTTGGGGAAGGAAGGGAATTCTAGGCAATAAATTTCAGAGGACTTATGGAACCTATCTTTTTTTAGATGACAATTTCTAGAATATCCATTGGTTGATAAGTTCTGAAAGCCCCATCATGCAACTCTAAATATCGACAGACCTCCTCTAAAATTCAATAAAATGTTACCAGTAACAAAGACAACTTCTTGTTAAAAATAATAAGAAATAAATGCTAACTCTTTTCTGTAATTCTTCTACCTTGAAAACAATAAGCTAACTGTTTCCCTTAATTGGAATAATTAACATGCAAATAGACGCACAGACATGTACAATCGGAGTGGCCAAATTCATTTTATTCTGAAAAGAAAAGTTTTTCTTTTTCAAAGCATCATTCAAATGTGACTTTTCGGATGGAATTTGTGGACTAGAACAGAATGATACATTAACAAGATGGGTGTTGATTGGATCAAGGAATGGTAGGCCTAATCATAATTAACCTGTATTAACATTTATTAATTAGAATTCAGATAAATCAAACATATTAAAACTTTAAAAATAAAATTCCGTTTTCTTTTCTTTCTTTTTTTTAATTTTAAGATGTTCTTTTCAGATACGTTTGGGAAAAAATTGTTTTATTATTATTGTCCCCCGCTTTTCGCAAAAGCAAAACATAAAATTCCAGTCTGTCAGTCTGCCTGTCTGTCCATCTGTCACAAAAACTTTAACAATGGTCATAACTTTTGAATGAGAAAAGGCAGGACTTTCATATTTCACACGTACACTACCTGTGACAAAATACTATGATTTTTGACCTCGTGATCTTGACCTTAAAGTTTGACCTATTTAAAAAAAAAATAGTGATAACTTTTGAATGAGAGAAGATAGGGTTTTCATATTTTACACGTGTATTACCTGTGATAAGACCTTTCCAAATATTTTATGATTTTTTACCTCATGACCTTCACCTTGAAGTTTGACCTACTTCTCTAAAATATTATCATTGGGGATAACTCTTGAATAACATACGTGCATTACCTGTTACAGGCTTTTCCGAATGTACTTTGGTTTTTGACCTCTTGACCTTGAAGTATGACCTACAGTACTTTTCATTTTTTTTTAATTTTGGTCATAGCGTTTGAATGAGAGAAGATAAGACTTTCATATTTTATATGTACTTTACCTGTGCCAATACCATTCAGATAAAATATATTTTACTTCATAACATTGACCTCCAACGGGACGTAAAACAACATACAATCAATCAATAATAATCTTGACCTAGAAATTTGATTTACTTATTTAAAATTTTAACTTTGGGCATAACTATAACTAGAAAAGACTGGGCTTTCTTATTTTTTTTTCACATGAGCATTACTTGTGATAAGTCCTATCGGATTGTATTATGATATTTGACTTTATGACCTTGAATTATAATGTGCCAAAAATAACTGCATCGCATCCACTAAGACACGAAGGCGGGGGACCATAATTCTTTGAATTTTATTATTATTTTTATTCAGTTATTCTGTTTAATCGTTTTTATGCCAATACAGAGTTTGTATTTCGTCTGTCGGCACAGCCATCCGCATCACTATCAAACTTGCCTACATTGAAATCACCCCTCTTACGTTCTACCTACACTGGAGGCTGTTTGCAGCTGGAATATCGTAGCAAGGGTATTAACCTTGTAATAAAAACCACCACTCACACATTGACTAGACTTCCAGAAAGTGTAGAGTGGAAGAGAGTAAAAGTGAACATACCTTTTCATCCTGAAAACTACGAGGTTTGATATTTTTTCACAACATATTTTATTCAAACATCCCTTTTTTAAAAGATATTTTTGAGTTTGCTATAAATTTACCTTTATGATTTTCTCTTAGGTGTTAATTGTACCATTTTCCACCACATCTTTAGTTGAAGTGGGCATAAGGTTAATCGATATTCAAGAGAAGACTTGTCAAGGTACCTATTTAAAAAATCAAAATGATATTTTTGATTAAAATAAATGTATATTTAAATGTTGTAATAAATTTCCAAGATTGTTTTGCCTGTCTGCATGATGGCCTATGTATTGAAAGGGAGGGATTTTGTGATATGAACCTGGATTGTCCTGACTCCACTGATGAGGAAAACTGTGGTGAGCACATTTCGAATTTTTCGTCTGTAGTTGAGTTGTTAAATGAAGTCAATAAAATAAGTTTTTCCTACAATTATTAGCTCTTGAGTGTTACTATGAAAACGTGTACAAAGGATACCGAAAAGAAACAAAATATCTCCACCGATGCATGGAAGGTGCGGAAAATACATGCAGATTTGATGAAAGCAAAGAAAAGCTAGGATGCTTCGTGAATTCTGAACAGAGGTGGGAGGAATGTAACGTTCCAAAATGTGGTAAGACTCAGATGTATTCGTCGTTAAAAAGGTAATTAGTCCTAAGATAAATCAATACTAAATGACAGTGAATTTCAAAATCGATAGAACAAGAATTATGATCTTCAGTAAGCAAAATGAATTTACGAAGAAAAATTACGTTTTCATATAAAAATACGAAAGAGTGAAATATTGAAACTACATATAATCTTCAGTTTACATTAAATAGCTAAAATGAATACAATAAAAATAAATATAATAAATAAATAAAATTAAGAATAAAATTTTGAAATTATGATAGGTCATTAAGGAAAAAAAATTCTCAAGCAATGAATAAATTTTGTCTACATTCAAACTGTGAGAATTTTATTATAGACACTGGATTTCTAGATTGCAAATTTGAAAATGACTTGTGCGGTTGGAAACAGATGCAGCATGGAATAAAATGGAATCGACAAATAGCAGAAAATACGGGTAATGAGCATATGTGTATCAAAAATTATGTTACAGATGAGAATTTTTTACATCTAGAAAAATACTGCTAAATTTAATGTTATTTAAATGCTGGAATATATGTATATCGTTAAAATAGGCGAAATGTTTGCATTGGCTGAAAGTAAATTACATTTGAATGAAGATATGGAGGAGAGGGCTGTCTTATACAGTACACCACAACCTTCATCGTCTAGTTTTGGTTGTATAACAATCTCATATTCTGGAATTAATGTCAGTTTGAACGTATTTATTACACAAGGCACGAATATAACATCAGATAAAATAGTTTTTCAGCATCAAATAATTGAGTTGAAAAGTTTTGCCATAGCAACTTTCCAGACTCCTTTTGGTACCCCTTACATGGTAAGTTAAATATTTTGCACAAAAATAACTAAGTGTTAAATGTAACACAATGAAGTGAAATATACATAATTATTTTATCTTTTTAATATTGACACACCTATTGTAGGTAGTGATTGTTGCAAAATTTCAAGCTATATCACCTGGATTTTTAAAACTAGAAAAAATAAGCCACGAAAATGGAATTTGTAAAGGTTTGTTGTTATTTTAAAATTAGTAACTCAAAGATTCAAAGCAATGTATTTCTTAAAATTAATATAATTGCAAGTTGGTTCATCCTCTGATTTCAAATATCCTTTAAAATTTCGTGATAGCAAAATCAGAGATGAATGTTTTCTGTTATCTAGATAAAGGTCCTTGTGATAAAACCGAATTTCAATGTGATGACGGGAGCTGTGTACATGTTGACAAAGTTTGCAATAGGAAAAACAATTGTCCAAATAACGAGGACGAATTTATGTGCAGATATAACAGCTCAGAATGTGTTCAAATGAAAAATGAGTGTATTCTACCTTGCCCTTCTCAATGTGAATGTCAAGGTGTAATCTTCAGGTGCCATTCTCCGGAAAACATCCCAAAAGAGGTCAAAGTACTTGATTTTAGCTTAAGCAGCTTTGATACAAGAAAATTAAGAAATTTTAGTTTCCTCTTACATTTAAATATTTCAGAATGTTCTATAAACGATTCCACAGTGAAAAATCTAGGATATCAATTAAGATCATCTAATCTTCAAAATCTCGACCTCTCATTTAACAATCTTCGGCATTTGAATCAGAATACTTTTGGTGGCATGATTAATCTATTATATCTTAATATTTCACACAACCAAATTGAAAGTTTTGAGATTTTATTATTGAGCTCCATTCCAAAGTTACGGTATTTAAATCTTCGAAACAACAAAATAGAAATAATTCAAGCTAACGAAATGGGTAATATCTTCTATCCTAAACTTAAATATTTGGATTTAAGAAACAATAAAATAAGAACAATATCGCCTAAATCTTTGTACTTGTTAGGTTCAATAACAAAATTAATTTTAAGTCACAACACAATTACAAATACGGAGCAGTATTTTACAAACTCAATGAGAATGCTATCTGATTTAGATTTAAGCTCTAATTTGATAAAAGTAATCACGAATAATATGTTTTCGGGTTTAAGCAGACTCCGAGATTTAAACCTAAAAAACAATCAAATTGAAATTTTAAATGGATTCTCATTTTCATCACTAATTTCTTTACGTACACTTAATCTTGCCTTCAATAAAATCCATACAATACACAGAAAGGCTCTGGAGAACATGGTTTTACTCAGTACCTTGAACCTCACAGGAAACAGATTGAGAATTCTTGATTCCGCAAGATTCGTCGCCCTAATAAAGCTTCAGATTTTGGACTTATCACACAATGGAATTTATTATTTGAACTACAATACCTTTCAAAGACTGGAGGAAGTCAAATATCTATATATACATGGAAATAACTTAAGCGTGTCAAAAACTATGTTTCAAGGTCTTTGTAACCTTGAATGGATGTCGACAGACTCATACATTATTTGTTGTGCCAAACCATTGTCTGTTGATGCATCAAAATGTATTTCTCCACAAGACCGAATCTCCTCTTGCGAACAGTTGATCAACGTAAGATTCCTTGCACAAATGATATGGTACATGGCCCTTTTCTCGTTGGTAGGAAACAGTTACGTAATTTATTACCGCATTAGAAGCAGCGAAGAAGGAAGCACTCTGTCACAAGGAATTTTCATTCTGAATCTAAGTTTTTCTGATTTATTGATGGGTATTTACTTGTTCATTATCGCACTAGCAGATATGGAATATCGTAACGTATACGGATTTCACGATAGCCAATGGAGATCCAGCATTACCTGTACAGTTGCTGGATTATTAGCAATGCTTTCCAGTGAGACATCGGTACTCTTTGTATTTCTCATTACAGTTGAACGATACTTAGCTTTGAGGTACCCGTTTACTGCAGGACTTAAGAGGAGGAAAAAAGAAATTTTAGGCGTTACAATAATCGTGTGGCTCTTTGGTATTATATTTGCAACACTTCCAATTTTATTTTACCATGACTTTTACAGCAGATCCACAGTATGTATCTCTCTTCCTTTAACTACAGAGAGGTTGGAGGGTTGGAAGTATTCTACATTTGGTTTCATTGGCTTTAACATATTGATTTTCATGGCTATACTGATTGGACAGATACTGATATTCATAGAAGTAAGGAAAACTGGAAAAGCCCTAAATAACGACAACACTCGAAGAGAGATTGCTGTGTTAAGATCTCTGACATATGTTGTATTATCCGATACGTTTTGCTGGATTCCTATTATTTTGATTGGTGAGAATCTTCTTTTTGGAAAGGTTGTTCTAAACAATTAAAGTTGAAATGCTATTTTTAAGATTAATCATAAAAACTTTTTATAAAACATCCCACATTCTTTATTAAAGAATGCTTATTTAATTCAAGAAAATGTGTTTCCAGAGAAATTGTTTTTGTATTGTATTGTGTGCTAAAATTGACATATAAATATTTCAAGAAATATATGTAAAATTTGAAAACGTACATAAATACGCAAGAAGTAGCAATTTGAAAAAAAAAACAAATTCATTTTAGGAATAGCGGCATATGCGGGACTGGAAATTTCATTTGATATATATGCATGGGTTATCGTTCTTGTGCTACCAATTAATTCTGCTTTGAATCCAATTATATACACCTTCAGCTTGATATACAAACAGGTAATTTATCTTTGATTAATTCTTTCATGTGTTTCTTTAATAATTTAAGGATTTCATTGATAGTTCTAAATTTTCTACATTTTCTTTTTTACAGAAACAGCAAAGACAAATCAGACATAACCATATCTAGAGGCAATATGAACAAGATTTGAATCCACTCAGTGCTTAACCTCGTTATTTTCCTACTGAAGAACCATGAACATGACACGTAACATTTCATTGTATTACCGTATTATCCATGTTTATCTTGATCCCTTTCTCCCCATCAGGTTAATATATTTTAAATTTAAGTGTCTCATATTCTTTCTGGAATGTATGTCTATGAAAAGAAGAAGACTAAAACTTTTATCTGATTTGTTTTGTTCAGGAGAACGTGGGTTCATGAATTTATATCAATTTTTCAAACGTCATGCAGATCCAAAAAGTGAAAAAATTAGTGACAGACATCAAGGCATTTAAAGAGACACAAAACAACACCTAAACGTACGAACAAACAAACAATATGCTTGTAAATAATAAAGGATCTTTTTTTAAAAAAAAAATAATAATAATTCACTCTTTCATTGAAATTATGAAAGTTTAGCAATTCACATGTCATCATGAATATTAAAAAGCATGACTTTGTCTGCAGCTATTCGCTTTTTAAATTAACAAATAATAAACTTGATTTATTCTCTTTCAAATGAAATATTGGAGGAGAAATTCTTGAGAAACTTGAAAATATTACTTTCTTCCATATATATATTAAACAACATTGTTAGGTGAAATTCAAATTTGATCACGGCGATTTGCATATACTTCCCGGGGAAATATGCAAAAAAAATTTCAACATAAAAAATAAATTTAAAAAATGTTTCAAAAAAAATTCCATTTGCATTTATTTAAAAATTAAGAGAAAATGTTTTTTTCAAAAAAGGCTAGTGTTCAAGTTATTCATAAAATGTTTCAGGGTATTGTTTTCACCAACATAACGGACTGTTTTAGGTAAAATTGAGTAACCACAATATATACCTGTATTTTACGTAATGTGCCTTACATCTTTTTCTTGTAAAAAAAACTTAAATGCGAAACCACTAGACAGGAAAGACAGAAAATTAAATCAGACAGGATGAGAGAAATACTACATGATTCATTTTTTAAATAACAGAACGAATAGCTGATAGTTGAAATTTAAAATACATTATCAAAAATAATTTATACATATGTGGGCTATTCATTTGTTTTTATCTTAATTTTCCCATTTTTATTTGAATAAATTGACATTCATTAAACGCCTGGTTTATTTTTTACAGCTCTGTACTGAGATAACATTTGATTTTTCGATAACGAGATTATCAACACATTTAATTCTTGTCATGAACTCCATTATTACATTGTAAATAGACTAGGTATATGCCTGTAAAACTTTCCAAAAATGGAAATATTGTCTATGTTTAACAACACAGTAAAGTGTCATTGCCTCTCTATCTGTTTTGATGCATTGGATAATATTTTTTTAATTACTGTACGTGTACTTAATACAGTTTTCAGGTTTTAGCACTTTGTAAAAAAGGGGAGGGCATATTCATTCTCACCGCCAAAAAACTGAACAAGTATAATGTATATTATCCTGATAACTCTCAAATCATACAGAGTCAAAATGTGTATATCTACGTTTGCGTTGGATTTGGTGAAATAATACAAGTCCAGCACTTTATAGAGAAATCTTGTAAGGTTGAGGTTTTTAATCGATTTACCTTTACCAGATAAATTAAATCATTTGTAATTAGAACATCTTAAAGGTTCTTCATGTGGAAATAAGGCATGGGTGTGAACGAGGAAAGAGGAAACGAATGTAAACTACAAACTTTGTCCTGTGTAAGAAATACAATGATTAGCTCTATATAAAATTAATTACAGCTTGTTTTCTGAACTAAACCGTATAACATTTTTCATCAAATATTTCCAAATCTGGTTCTTATTTTACAGCTGCAAGACAATGAATGACGAGAGAATATTTAATTATAAAGAAGAACAATGTGTATAGTGTGTTGCATATGTCTGGAGGCAGATTTTCATTCCAGGATTTCTACGTCCGAAGTTTTTCCATCACTACAGTAAATATAACACATAAATCAGAATGTAGGACATCTAAAACACAGGTTAATCAGGTAGAACGCCTAAACATAAATAAATCAGAATCGATGAATCTTAAATATAGATACAGATCTGTTCCAAAAGTGAAGATAATTTTATTTTTTCTCTTTATATATTTTAATGAAAAGCACATATAGTTAAATCGCTGGAAAATGGTCAATTTTTGTCTAATTTCATTATTTATTTCAGTACTTAAACCAGGAAATGTGTAGTTATCTTTTTTTCTGAAAGATCATTACATATTCAGTTTTTAGAAAAAGATAGTTCATCTTTTACATCAGTTCTAAAGTTAGATCAATGTTGACTATATAATTCATTGTGCATACTAGCATATGACTTAAATTTTCATGTCGCACTTAAGTTAAGTTCAATATTTTTAAATATCGATGCTGATCAGATAAAAACTATTGTTTATATCAAATATAACAATTTCTTGGATTATTGAGAAAGAATCTGGGGGGATAAGACGAGCCATGTGCCCATGCCCATTTTTCGGCTATGCAAGAACATTTATTGGAAAAAATCTCTCAATTGTTCGAATTTACTTAAGCATTTTAATGTTTACCGTAGTTTTCAAAATGATATTTATATTCTAAACAAGCTAAACAGTTGACTTTCATTTACTGTCACAAATGTCTAACATGGGTAAGGACTTCTATTAATTAATCTGCATATTGAGTGTTTACACTTATTGTGGAGATATTATGAAAATGTTAACATCGTATATAATGATAATGGTGATCTAGAAGCGCTTTTATTTAAAATAAATAAAACGGGAATAAAAGTATTCAAATATCTATTATAATTTTTATCCGGCATTTTAAATAATTTACTGTAAATAAGTTCATTACTACATGTATATATTTTATTTCCAGTGAAAAATATGTTATTCCTATATACATTTTTATAAAGTAAAACAAAATTAAAACCAAAAAAAAAAAAAAAAAAAAAAAAAAAAAAAAATCAGAGCATGACTCGAACACTTTCCTCAATAAACGTCCCATTAAAGAGCTCATCGCTAACTACTAGACCACAGAGTCACACTAACATTTCCATTTAAATAGCATACAGTTCTCTATATTTAGCAAGCGTTTTTGGACTTAGAATTTTTTAAGACCACGGTGAAAATTTAAGTAAGTTAACTTAATTTTTTATGTAGAGTGGGTCTTCATACCAAATTTTTGCAAGTGTAAAAAGCAACATCTTTCCATTGCCTTTCATTAATCGTTCTCAAAAAAATGGTACGATGACCCACTCTATTTAAAAAATGTAGTTATATCATCCAATTTATGTCAGTTTCTGTGAAAATTGAGCGTGATGCCATTTTGTTGTGTTAATCAGAATCATTTTCGCTGTTACAGTATTCAGGTTTTGTCAAATTTATATGCAAATGGTAATAAGCATTACATTAATTCAACAAAAAGTGAAATTTTTGTAAAATGAATTTATTGATTTTTTTATCGATCGTTATGTAGGCATATGGCTCGGCTTATCCCCCCAGTTTCTTTGTGGTAAAATCTGTCAAGAAATGTTGTCATTCCAGTGATTTTACAAAATGTTGTTTTCAATGAAATATACAGAGAAAAAATAAAATTATCTTCACTTCTGGCACACATCTGTAACTCAAAACGAAGGACTTCTAAAACATAGATAATTTAAAATGAAGTACAACTAAAACAAAGATAACTAATGATGAAGAAAATCTAAAACACAAAATTAATACTACAGAATCATTTTAATTCCTGGGGGTCAATGTTTGTGGATAACCAATATTTTATTAGTTCTTGGGTAACTCGAGTAGACACCAAAGATTCGATGAATTGCTACTTCGACAAAGTTTGTTTGTGGGAATGTAAATTCATTGGTAGGAGTAACCCATAACCCACAGATAAATTAGAATAAAGAACACCAAAAAACATAGTACACAGATAAATCACCATTAAGAACACCTAAGCACAGATAAATCACCATAAAGAACACCTAAACACAGATAAGTCACCACAAAGAACGCCTAAACACAGATAAGTCACCACAAAAAACACTTAAACACAGATAAGTCACCACAAAGAACACCTAAACACAGAAAAGTCACCATAAAGAACGCCTAAACACAGATAAGTCAACACAAAGAACAGCTAAACACAGATAAGTCACCATAAAAAACAACTAAACACAGATAAGTCTCCATAAAGAACGCCTAAACACAGATAAATCACCATTAAGAACGCATAAACACTGATAAGGCACCATAAAGAACACCTAAACACAGATAAGTCACCACAAAGAACACCTAAACACAGATAAGTCACCACAAAAAACACTTAAACACAGATAAGTCACCACAAAGAACACCTAAACACAGAAAAGTCACCATAAAGAACGCCTAAACACAGATAAGTCAACACAAAGAACAGCTAAACACAGATAAGTCACCATAAAAAACAACTAAACACAGATAAGTCTCCATAAAGAACGCCTAAACACAGATAAATCACCATTAAGAACGCATAAACACTGATAAGGCACCATAAAGAACACCTAAACACAGATAAGTCACCACAAAGAACACCTAAACACAGATAAGTCACCATAAAGAACACCTAAACACAGATAAATCACCATAAAGAACACCTAAACACAGATAAGTCACAACAAAGAACGCCTAAACACAGACAAATCACCATAAAGAACGCCTAAACACTGATAAGTCACCACAAAGAACACCTAAACACAGATAAGTCACAACAAAGAACACCTAAACACAGATAAGTCACCATAAAGAACGCCTAAACACTGATAAGTCACCACAAAGAACGCCTAAACACAGATAAGTCACCACAAAGAACACCTAAACACAGATAAGTCACCATAAAGAACACCTAAACACAGATGAGTCACCACAAAGAACACCTAAACACAGATAAGTCACCATAAAGAATGCCTAAACACAGATAAATCACCACAAAGAACACCTAAACACAGATAAGTCACCACAAAGAACACCTAAACACAGATAAGTCACCATAAAGAACACCTAAACACAGATGAGTCACCACAAAGAACACCTAAACACAGATAAGTCACCATAAAGAATGCCTAAACACAGATAAATCACCACAAAGAACAC